ATCCCAAGAGTTTCTCAGCAGATTTGGGCCGTACTCAGCAAGTGCAGTACAGCCCTGAACTCAGATTTGAAAAAAATTAAGTGGATGGCCCGGGACAGACTGGTTCACAGACCGCCGACTGGTCCGCCCTACTGGTATGCTGGAAAACAGTCAGCGGCCGTCGTCCACCGGTGGGTGGGTATGCAACCCTGCCATACATTCTATTTGGGCGAACACGGTACCCGTACCACATCGCATCACTAGGTGTACGTGTGACACGACCAGGAAATGCAGCCATCATGAACACAACAGCTTTTGGGGGTTGAGGGCAGAAGCAGCGCATTACTGTTGTGAACTGTTCATTATCGTTGTCATCATCGTCGTTGTACTGTTCGTTATTGTTATTATCATCATGAAGATCATCAGTCAAGATTGCCAGCGTTTTGCACTCACATGATTGCCGTGGTCGTAGTTTTCATTCCCACACAAGAGCCCGATAGCCATCGTGGTTGTTTTTCTTTCCCATGTTTTTCATGGCTGTTCTCTCTTCCTCCTCTCCTTTTTTTTCTCAAATTTTGTCAATTGCTCGACTTAATCCATGTCATCCTTTGGCAAGCACGGCCCATGATAATCTTCTCTATATTGTTCCAATTTTAAGGGATGTCCTGAAGGACAGGCCATCCTCTCTTCCTCATAAAGCCTTCGGGAAAAAAAAAAGCAAGAGGCTCAACATGTTTGCGTTTGAAAGAGATCTGAAGACTCTGAACTTTGTTCTTGTTCAAACTTCACAGTTTCAAATTGATTTTTTTTTTTTAATGAATTTTTTAGGGGTTCTGGACCCAAAAAAATAAAATAAAAATAAAATGATATTATTATATTATTATTCTTTTTTTTGCGGTGCCGATGACCCCCGACCGGTAGGTGCCGGCCGACCAACCAACTGGTCGTGGCTGGTCGGCATCTGACCAGTCAAGGGCTGCCGACCGCCGGGGTATGCAACTGTTACAATCCTGGCCAATTTCAAAATATGCATTCATCTGAAAGTACAATGCCATCCAATTGCAAAAAGAAAAGAATGAACTTGAGAGGAGAGAGAGGGAAAGAAGAGGAAGAAGAAGTGCGAAAGAAGAAGAAGATGATGTACTCCAGCATAGACCAATGTCAAGGCTTTTCTTCTTCGCCAACCAAT